ATTAAATAGCCTGATAGCCCCCCAAAAATACAAACAAATAATGTTAATAATTTTAAATATCTAGGTAAACAGATTATATAAGGAATAGGAAAAATTAATCAATTTAATATTCTCCCCAATAATTCTATAATTAATAAACCTAATATACCTCGGATATTACTCAACTTCATCATTTAATATATTTAAACTTCCACAATTTAAATCCCCAGTTATTGAATAATAAACTAATCGAAAAGAATAACTTACAGTTAAACCTGTTGAAAAAAAATATAAAAAAAATGAAAATATATTAATATTTCTAATGCTAACGATTTCCAAAATTATATCCTTAGAATAAAATCCAGCTAAAAAAGGTATCCCACATAATGCTAAATTAGAAACATTAAAACAAGCGGAAGTCAGAGGTATATGAATTCTTAAACCTCCTATTAATCGAATATCTTGAGAATTATTTATATTATGAATAATAGCCCCGGCACATATAAATAATAATGCTTTAAATAAAGCATGTGTTAATAAATGAAATATAGCTAATTTATAAAATCCTATTGATAAAATTCTTATCATTAACCCTAATTGTCTTAAAGTAGATAAAGCAATAATTTTTTTTAAGTCAAATTCAAAATTAGCCCCCAATCCAGCTATAAATATTGTTAACCCAGATAATAAAAGTAATAACTGACCCAATCAAGAAGTTCTTAAAATAATATTAAATCGAATTAATAAATAAACCCCAGCTGTTACTAAAGTAGAAGAATGTACTAAAGCAGAAACAGGAGTAGGGGCAGCTATAGCAGCAGGTAACCAAGAAGAAAAAGGAATTTGAGCTCTTTTAGTTATAGCTGCCAATATTACTAATCTACCAATTATTAATATTTCAAATTCATTTTGTATAACTTCTAAATAAAAAATATAATTTCATCTTCCATAATTTAATATTCAAGCAATAGCTAAAAGAAGGGCAACATCTCCAATTCGATTAGATAATGCAGTCAATATCCCAGCATTATAAGATTTAATATTTTGAAAATAAATTACTAAACAATAAGAAACTAACCCTAAACCATCCCAACCTAATAAAATTCTAATTAAATTAGGACTAATAATCAATAATATTATAGATAGAACAAATATTAATACTAATATAATAAATCGATTAATATTTTCATCTCTTCTTATATATTCTTTTCTATAAAAAATTACTAAAGAAGCAATTATTAAAACAAAAGATATAAATAATAAACTTATTCAATCTAATAAAAAAGTTATTACAATTCTTATTGAATTTAAAGAAACAACTTCTCATTCAATAAAATAAATTATATTATTTAATAAAAAATATAAACTTAATAAAAAACAAGATAAACTAATAGAAATTAAATTAACAAATCTAATTCTACAAATTGATAAATATTTCACGATCTAAAATGAATTACTTCATATCACTAACACCACAAATTAGTATTTTTTTAAACTATTTAAATATAATCATAATATACATGATTCTCTTTTTAAAATTAATAAATTTAAAGGTAATCAATGTAATAATATTAATAAATATTCTCGAATTTTACCTCCTCTAAAAGAATAAATTCCAGAAAATAATTTCCCATGTTGACTAAAAGAATAAAGATATAAAGTATACGCAGCACTAAAAAATGATAAAAATGATAATATAATTATAGAAATTCATGATCAAGAAACAATTCTATTTAATAAAGAAATTTCTCCTAATAAATTTAATGTTGGAGGAGCAGCTATATTAGCAGATCTTAATAAAAATCATCATAAAGTTATAGCAGGTATAAAATTTAATAACCCCTTATTAATAAGTATACTACGACTACCTAGTCGTTCATAAGAAACATTAGCTAAACAAAACAATCCGGAAGAACATAAACCATGAGCAATTATTAAAGTATAAGAACCACATAATCCTCAGTAAGTTATTGTTAATAGCCCAGCTAAAACAATTCCTATGTGAGCAACAGAAGAATAAGCAATTAAAGCCTTTAAATCTGTCTGACGTAAACATACTAATCTCACTAATACACCCCCTACTAATCTAATTCTAATTCAAATAAAACTATATTTTAAATTTATAAATTGTAAAAAAGAAATAACTCGTAATAATCCATAACCTCCTAATTTTAATATAATTCCAGCTAAAATTATTGATCCAGAAACTGGAGCTTCAACATGAGCCTTAGGTAATCATAAATGAACTAAAAATATTGGTATTTTTACTAAAAAAGCGCATAATAAACAAAAATATAATAAATCATAATTAAACATAAAATTATTTATTAGATAAAAATTTATAGAACCTGTTTTATTTATTACATAAAAAATACCAATTAATATAGGTAATGAAACTAACAACGTATAAAATAATAAATATACCCCTGCTTGTAACCGTTCAGGTTGATACCCTCACCCTAAAATTAAAAATAATGTAGGAATTAAACTTCTTTCAAAAAATAAATAAAACATAAATAAACTTATTCTTCTAAATGTTAAAACTAATAATAATAACAAAATTACAATATTTAATAAAAATAAATTTTTATAATTATTATATTTATTAACTCTTTCTCTAGCTAATAATATTAAAGAACAAATTCATAAACTTAATAACACTAACCCATAAGAAAGTATATCACAACCTAAAAAATAAGAAATTTCAGATCAATAATTTATAAAATTATTTATTAATAAAAAAATAAATCTAATAAAAAACAATATAATTTGAACCATTCAGTATATATTATTAATAAAACAAATAGGAGTTAAAAATAACAAAAAAAAAATAATTTTTAACATATTATATAATTCTAAAAGATTGAAAATAATCATTACCATGTGTACGAATTATAGAAACTAAAATAGATAAACCTAAAGCTCCTTCACATACTCTAAATGTTAAAAATATTATTCTAAAATAATTTTCATAATTTAATATATTTAAATAAATAAATAATATAAAAAATAATATTAAAACAATAAATTCCAAACTTAAAAGTATTGAAAGTAAATGTTTTCGATTAGAAACAAAACAAAATAAACCTAAAATAAATAAAATTATAGGTAAACTTCAATATAAAATTATAATCATTAGTTTTAATAGTTTAATAAAAACATTGGTCTTGTAAATCAAAAATAAGATTTTTTCTTTTAAAACTTCAAGAGAAAAGAAATTTCTTTTTCATTAATCCCCAAAATTAATATTTTAAATAAACTACCTCTTGAAATTATTCAATTAATATTATATTCTTTAATTATTACTACTTCTATTATTTTTTTAAATATAATCCATCCATTAGCTTTAGGTTTAACTTTATTAATTCAAACAATTTTTGTTTGTTTAATTTTAGGTTTAATAACTAAAAGTTTTTGATATTCATACATTTTATTTTTGATTTTTTTAGGGGGTATGCTTGTACTATTTATTTACGTTACATCCTTAGCTTCTAATGAAATATTTAATTTATCTATTAAACTTACTTTATTTTCTGGATTAATTTTATTTATAATATTAATTTTATCTTTTATTGTTGACAAAACTTCTATTTCATTATTTTTAATAAACAATGAAATAGAATCTATTATTAAAATAAATTCATATTTTACAGAAAACTCTTTATCATTAAATAAATTATATAATTTTCCTACTAATTTTATTACAATTTTATTAATAAATTATTTATTAATTACTTTAATTGTAGTAGTAAAAATTACTAAATTATTTAAGGGACCTATTCGAATAATATCATAATTAATGAACAAACCTTTACGAACTTCCCACCCTTTATTTAAAATTGCTAATAATGCTTTAGTAGATTTACCAGCTCCAATTAATATTTCAAGATGATGAAATTTTGGTTCTTTACTTGGATTATGTTTAATTATTCAAATTTTAACTGGATTATTTTTAGCTATACATTACACAGCTGATGTTAATTTAGCTTTTTATAGAGTTAATCATATTTGTCGAGATGTTAATTATGGTTGATTATTACGAACTTTACACGCTAACGGTGCATCATTTTTTTTTATTTGCATTTATCTACATGTAGGACGAGGAATTTATTACGGTTCATATTTATTTACTCCAACTTGATTAGTAGGAGTAATTATTTTATTTTTAGTTATAGGAACAGCTTTTATAGGATATGTTTTACCTTGAGGACAAATATCATTTTGAGGAGCTACTGTAATTACAAATCTTTTATCTGCTATCCCTTATTTAGGTATAGATTTAGTTCAATGATTATGAGGAGGATTTGCTGTGGATAATGCTACTTTAACTCGATTTTTTACATTCCATTTTATTTTACCATTTATTGTTCTTGCTATAACAATAATTCATTTATTATTTTTACACCAAACAGGATCTAATAACCCTATTGGATTAAATTCTAATATTGATAAAATTCCTTTTCATCCTTATTTTACATTTAAGGATATTGTAGGATTTATTGTAATAATTTTTATCCTAATTTCATTAGTATTAATTAGCCCAAATTTATTAGGAGATCCTGATAATTTTATTCCAGCTAATCCATTAGTTACACCTGCCCATATTCAACCAGAATGATATTTTTTATTTGCATACGCTATTTTACGTTCTATTCCTAATAAATTAGGAGGAGTTATTGCATTAGTATTATCAATTGCAATTTTAATAATTTTACCTTTTTACAATTTAAGAAAATTCCGAGGAATTCAATTTTACCCAATTAATCAAATTTTATTTTGATCTATATTAGTAACAGTAATTTTATTAACTTGAATTGGAGCTCGTCCAGTTGAAGAACCTTATGTACTAATTGGACAAATTTTAACTGTTATTTATTTCTTATATTATTTGGTTAACCCATTAGTTACAAAATGATGAGATAATTTATTACAATAATATAATTAGTTAATGAGCTTGAATAAGCATATGTTTTGAAAACATAAGATAGAATTTAATTTTCTATTAACTTTACTAAAAATAATTCATTATAATAAAGAAAATAATAAAATTTTAAAACCAATAAAAAATAATAAATAATTTAAAGAAAAAGATAAAAAACATTTTCATGCTAAATATATCAACTTATCATAACGAAATCGAGGTAAAGTACCTCGAACTCAAATAAATACAAAAGAAATAAAAGTTAATTTAATATAAAATAATAAATTAAAAACATCACATCCTAAAAAAATTGCACAAAATAATATACTTATAAATAAAATTCTAGCATACTCTGCTATAAAAATTAAAGCAAATCCTCCTCTTCTATACTCTACATTAAACCCAGAAACTAATTCTGATTCTCCTTCAGCGAAATCAAATGGTGTTCGGTTAGTTTCAGCTAATGAAATAGTTAATCAAACTAAAGCTATAGGAAATAAAATAATTAAAAATCATATATAAATTTGATAATGAAAAAAATAAATTATATTATATCTTCCAATTAAAAAAATAAAAGATAATAAAATTAAAGCTAATCTAACTTCATAAGAAATAGTTTGAGCTACAGCTCGTAACCCTCCTAATAATGCATAATTAGAATTAGAAGATCAACCTGCTACTATAACAGTATAAACC